GTTGTCTGTAATTCGCCGAAGTGTCATAGCACCGTTTATCTGAACAGATATTAATTTGTGAGAAATAATCCATAACATCCGGAAATCGCCGTCGCCGCGGATTCAGTGTTAAAGTGTTAACACTTTAACACTTTAACATATACGAACTCGCGGCGAGTGAGGGTGAGGGTGGAGAGGTGAGAGTGAAGTGGGTGAAGAAGTTCTCCACCCTCATCCTCACTACTTCACCCTCAGTTATGCACGTTTATCCTTTTACACTTTAACACTTTAACATATAAGAATCCGCGGCGACGGCGATTTCCGGATGATGCCCAATATTACTAATCAAATCCTTTTTACTTAATGCTATCGGCAGATAGACGTGGGTTAAAACCATTCACAAGCGTTTTCTCTTTATGATCAGTTAAGACACGTTTCGAATAATTAAAAATGGGATTAACATCGTTTTGCACTATTCCTGTGTTTTGATGAGTTGAACTTAAACTAAATAGCTTCTTTACCAACCTTTCCTTCCAAACAATTGCTTTATCGTTCATCAGCGAACATTTTATAATCTGTAATCTTTCAAAAATGATTCGACTCATCAAACCTTGGATATAAGAAACTATTTTCTTAGAATGCCGATGGGCTCGACTCAGCAGTTTTCGTTTATATTTAATCTCCATCTTTAATAAATTTTGCTTAAGACCTATAGCAGCTTTACTAAACTGAAGATGATTGGGCAATCTTATACGAACCAATGTTTGTTCTAGTTGTCGACATGTCGTTAAACATGCTTTAAGAAAAATTAAACCTAATTCTGTTTTCCTAATTCTCATTTGTACAGTAACAAAATCACGAACTAAAGAAAAAATATCAGGCCCATAGTGTCGCCGGAGATATGATTGAACATTAAATTAGAGATTTAGAGCCAATAATTTAGAAAAAACTAACCGTTCGACAAAAGCACCCTCCATATTTTATTCAATTAAAATTAATATTAATCAACGGTTCCACTGTCCATACAGTCATTTTCAAGAGAACATACTGTATGGAGTATTGTATATATATACATGTTTTCTCTCATTCTGTTGAACTTAATTTTATGTACAGTATGTTCTCTTGAAAATGACTGTATGGACAGTGGAACCGTTGAGTAATATTAATTTTAATTGAATAAAATATGGATGCTCCTTTTGTCAAACGGTTAGTTGTATCTTGCGCAGCTCATCTTAATTGATGAAACAACTGCACGTCCGTTATTTACTTGGTACGAAGAACAGCGAAATATAACCGTGCTTTTCGACGTGAGAAGAAATTTATTTGTTCATTTATGGCATTGACATTTCTCTTCATCAACAAGAGCGAAATTCATTGTTTTTCTTTCTCTTTTTTCATTTCTCTTTTTAGCTCTAAAATGTTCAGCAGACGTACAAAAAGACTGTAAGTTAGTTTCTTTTCCTCAAGGGATCATTATGATCGTCAGTGTGAACAACATTTCTCTTGGTATCCACTCTCTGTTTGTTCTCCATACAAACACCTCTTTTTCTGCAGGGAGTGCAGACAGGAAAACACACTTCTTTAGTTGTCAGTCATCAGTGAAAAAAGTTTTCATTCACCTGCAAACTGCAATCTGAGTAACAATTGTTCATCGTAGCAATTATTCATGATCTTTACAATCAGTTGTTATAAGAACAAAAAAATTTTAATCAGATAACAACAATCATATCAATTTCAGAAACCCTATAAGTCGGTAAAGAAAAGTCTAAAATAAAATTCCAAAAACGTAAACTTGCAATAGTGTCTTGGGTACCTCTGGTAAAATTTTGAACCCGATCGGATGAAATTTAAGGGGGTCGTAATGTGGCACAATGAAGCCTGGTAGTCAAAAAATAGTTTTCGAGAAAAAACGCAGTTTTTGTACATAGGTCACTTTTTTCGTAGCATTTGCCTTATATCTCCGCGAAAACTCATCGGAAAATTTTGTAAAACGTCTCATTGTGAATAAACCAGTTTCTTCTATCAGACTATGTGTAAGAACAATTTTGCATGTACAGAAAATGAGAGAAAAGTTTATGAATTAACTAAAAATAAAAGTTATTAAGATGGAGATTAAATATAAACGAAAATTGCTGAGTCGAGCCCATCGGCATTCTAAGAAAATAGTTTCTTAAGGCTTCAGGACAAAGGCTCGTAGCGCCGGAACAAAGCAAAAGCAAACGTTTTCTGAGATGTTATTTTCTAGCGGACACTTCGAACTATCTATCTATGCAAAAAATCGATAGATTACTATGTCAGTTTCCAGAAACGCGACCTAACTTTCTAAAGATCCCGTAGAAAAGCGATCTTACCGCTATTTTTGGGTAGCAGTTTTGCTTACAGAAATATTGGTTAAAGTATTTTCTTTCGATTGTTGAAAACCGCAAGCCTCTATCTTTTATTGTTTTGGAGTTATTTGAAAAACAATTGAGTGCCTTGTATTTCTGTGCCGATAACAGTCTATAACTATCAGTGTGTAATACAGACTGGGAAAAAAATTGTACTCCGACTTAGTGTTTAGCAGTCCACCTGCAGGCAAGGCAGTGCGACAGTTTTTGCCCGCGATCCCTGCCTGTGTAGGACAAAAGGTTTTTTTCTGCGCGGCGACCACCTTTAAGTTAAAGCAACACAGAACAAACAAACGAAATGGAAGAATTTTAGAAGCAAAAATAACTGATTGGAGAGAGAGCACAGTAACTAATTTTCACTGAATGTGTATCTGACCTTAGACAGTTGATAGTAAAAGTTTGAGCTCGAACTGCTGAGTTTCTGAATCAGAAGTAGGTGTCCGTGCATCCCAGATGTCATCTGCAATTCTAATGATACAGACTTCTCGGTGGTGTCAAAAATGGTTTCGACTAACCAAAAGAAAATATATGACCAGCCCGGTCAGAATTTTTTAGACCAGTTACATCTATGTTCCGGATGTTTTCAGCTAATATTAAAAAATGCATAACTCACTCAAAATACATCAGAACTAGTTGAAAACTTCAGGAGGTACAGTATCTGAACTGTTTTACATTCTACGTATAGAAGAATCTACAAAAAAAGAATGATTTTAAGATTAAAGAATGATTGATATTTAAACACACAGTAATATAACTATTACTTGTTATCGTACTTTCTGAAAAAAAAATAAAGGGTTGAAAGTGTAAATTTTTCATTATTTCATATAAGTATGTACTCCCTATAGTCGGCTAGTTGCAAGATATTCTGCGAAAAATACAAAAATGAGAAAAGATCATGTCATTTTCAAAAAAATTCAATATTTCAGAAAGGAAAGCAACATTCAAAAAAAAGCGATACGTACTTTCGTTCTACGTTTCACGGCGGTTCCAATGGCGTCAAAATCAAGGCTCCTGCATAAAACCGGAAAGCTGAAAATTGTTTGCGATCAGAGTTGGTCGAAATCGAAGACCTCAAAACTTTGACGATAGTTCGAAGACTTCTGGCGACTCGAAAAATTTGGAAGACATTTCACTATACCCACTGTCATCCGCTGATTCCGAAAATATTATTCCGAAGGTTCGGCGACTTTGTGGCGTTGAGATATTGCATGTTTTTCAAAAAGTTGTTTTTTTTCGAAAAAACGCAGCCTTCACATTTTTTGATTTTTTTCGTGGAAAACGCGCACTGAAATTTGTTTAAATAACATATTCGTGATCAACGTAAAATTCTGCGTCGAATGGTGTATATTTCGGCCCAAAATAAAATAGTGCTATTCCTTCGAATTTGGAGCGTCTTACATTTTTTACAGTAAAAAGAATTTATTCAATAGAGAAAAACTTGATGTATGTGTATATTGATCTGCTTCTTCCTTACGTTAGTATTAATTATGAATATTTTTAAATAATAACTTTTTTCTGTTCTGTTCAAACAACATATATGTTATCTTTATCTCTCAAACTAAAAAACTAGATAGGTTTGCAAAATATATATCGACCGGCGCCCATTGAAAAATTTCGTATTCCACTACATTGCGCGCTAATCATCGCTGATCTGTGTTTCTAGACTCAGTTTGTGACGAGGAATCCGAATATCACGTTCAAAAAATCGAAAAGATAAAATGTAGAAAAGTACAAGCGTTTTTTCGAAAAACTGACGATTTTCGGGGTTTTCGACCTCCCCTCAGTATTTCGCATTTTTTCCACAAAGGTTTGACTTTTTCGAAGTAAAAAGGTGATATTCGTAATCAGCGCAAAATTTGGTGTCGAACACTGTGCTTTTCAGGAAAAATAAGGAGTGCTGAAATTTTGAATTAGCTTACGCTATTCTTTATCAAGACTGAGAAAATCCAGTTTTAAACGAAAACCCAGGCAACTGATTTCTACAACTGATTTTTCGTGATTTTCGAGCAAGTTTTCTAGAAGTCTTGAAAACAAGATCTTCAAATAATAATTTTTCTCTGGACACTTACGCAACTAAATTTTTTCTGAGCAAGTAGATGTGTAGAGCAGACTCTTTTGATTTTTGGTGGTTTTCAGCCTTTGACTCTAGAAAACTCCGGAACGGTAACAGATAGAGGGTAAAAAAATATTGTGATCGCGCCTTTGAGTGTGCAACATTTCTGAAAGTTTGATTAAAACCGGATGTAAGACAAAAAAGTTTTTTCTTAAATGAATAAATCTTAAATGAATAAATTTCGGAGCATCGCGAAAGACACAATATGCCACTACTAATCGTCTACAAGATATAAAAGTTATATCATTTACAAGCTCGCCACAAGTCAAATCGTGTTTCATCAAACTTCTCGATATTTATCAAAACTATTAAAATTGTTAAATAGTATTACTTTAGTTTATAATCTCGAGTATTCTGTTTATGGTTGTTTATTACTTTGCGGGTAAAAACAATTATTTATTTCTTACCTGTTTTTATGACTCATATTGACTTATTACGAATATTTGACGTGTTGCAATCGCTTCCTTTATTTTCTTGTCTTGCCGTCTCGTATTATTGTTAATGTTAAAAAGTTATACGATATGGGTGCATCACTGAGGAAGACTGATGACGATAATTGTGATTTTCCAGTTCATTTATCTGGAAGTATGTATGATGGTCAATATCAAGCGCGTCTTTTACAAAAAGAAGGTATTGCATGTGAATATGATGTTATGTATATAACAAAAGTTGAAATTCAAAATGAAAATCAAATCGAGTATGTTGTTCAAGCACCTGGTCATATTCGAATTTTTGATAGAAAGCTTTTACAAACATTACCACAAGGTTCACCGTTTGAGAATAATCAACCGTATGTCAATGGTTTTAAAATGAAACAAGATGTTTATTCCATTATACAAGAACAAAACATACGTACAATGGACAAATCGACAATAGCTATGGATCAAGCCAGTCTGTTTTTTCAATTTTCTGATGCCTACCCTTCAGCTGATCCTGATATTCTTCAAAAACTTGATATATTCAAACAAAATTTAACTGATAGACAAAAGCAAATTGCTCATGGTAATATCGAACAGTGTATTCTCTATCTCGTTGATCTATTTGGTCGATGTACAAAAAGGAATTATTATAATATAACAAAAGATTTATTTCATGTTGAACTGCCCGATTCATATTTTGATATTTCGTTTTCAAAAAGAATGTCGCAGTTAATTGATTTATATAAAATTCTCTATTTGTCATTAACTGGTGAGCCCATACCGAGAAATTTACGCGAAAAATTTCATCTTTTGTTACAATTTTATAAGAAATATCGCCATATGATTAATGAAGATATTCATCAGGAAGCATTAGAAAAAAATCAGAATTATACAGAAAAAGAAGATTGTGATATTGTTATTTCAATTAAACTAAATTTTTGGCCACAAATAATTAGATCAAGAATTAATTATCTAAAACATCATAAACATCATATATACCAGCGAATAAAACATTCACATGTATTTGCAATACCAAAATGGTCTAAATTAACAGCGGAAATTGAAGCTCCCTATGAATTTCGTCTATCGTTTTCTATTATGGAAGCAATATTGGCCAAATCTCGGTCAGCCAATCAAAAACTGCTGAATAGAATAGCTCGTACCATTTATTATAAACATCTAAAGATGGAAACGAGTGATATTGATAAACCAAAAATTCCTTCATATTTTGTAAAAACATGTGTTCTATGGATGTGTGAAATATTTGATATTGAACAGGACGATCAACAACAACTTCCGATAAAATTCATCGCATATGCTCGTCAAAAACTTGAAACTGGTATATGTCAACATTATTTCATTGAATATGTAAATATCTTGGCTCCATACAATTTAGACACAAGAAAAGAAGCTTGTGATATATTAGAAAAGATTGACATCGAGAATTTGTTTTCTGAGGTAAGTAAAGATAAAGTGTTGAATCATGAAAAGCTATCAGAGAATATAGTCCGATTTTCTTCGGAAATGGTTGAAGAATTTCATGAATTACAATTAAAACATTTTGATGAACAATGCCACATTTATTTACCAGAAAAATATGATTTATCATTAAGACAAATATTTTATAATTTATCATTGATAGAAGAAAATAACACGAAATGGTGGGATAATTGGACAAATGTTTTTTTGTCGGCTGATCATAACGAAAAAGCCATTGCTAATCTAACTAATCTGAATGCTTTTGACATAGTATCTTGTTTTTTTAATTTTACATATGCGATACAACGTCGATGGCCTGTAATTAAATACTTATTATTTGAAGATATTCATATGGAACAATTTTTAATGGATAAACGACAAAAACTTGTTAGTATTTCATTATTATTCTTTGAACAACTTATACATGATATTTACCTTGAACGTTATAGAACTGCTACACTCTCTGATATTTTACAACAAAATCAATATAAACACATTATAAGTAATTCATTAGCTATGTCATCGATACCTGTAGGTGAAAATGAGAAAATCACAATACGTACTGATCTATTGTTAGATGAATTTTGGAACAGTAAACAAGCAAACTTTATAAACGACATATTGACTGTATCTGGTGTTGGTTATTCGATAGTAAAATATGTATTTGCAATAGATGAACGTTTCGGACAAGACGAGCAGGAGCAACAGCGTAGAAGAAGTTCAGGTATCATGCCATTAATTAAAATGATAAGACTCTGGAAAATGATTCGAAGAATGAAGCGAGAGAACACACTATAGGCGTAAACATGCTTTCACGACCGGAAAATAAAATGGCAAAGTTTACCGGATTTTGAGGTGAACACAATGTACATTGTTGTGATCAGTTGATTAGTACTAAGCGGTACATTTTTATCTAAAAACTTTTATTCGACAGACATTCACGACGTACTCCGTGATTCTTTTACTGTTCACCAATACAATTATAAAGTCCATACAGTAGTCGCATGACAGGAAGGTCCCTTTCATCGTTCAAATACCATCAAATGTGTGAGCAGAATTATCTCTATCTCTCTGCGTGAATTGTATTTTGAACCGCATATACTTTGACCTTGATTTTTCAAGAAAGCTCCAGTCTGAATACTCACTTGAATAGTTCAAAGATTTTGCTATCGGATGAGGTGTATATCGCCATTTTATGAGAAAACTTGATAACAGAATATCTGAAAAACTTGAACCTGCGATTTTAACGTTTCGTTTGATCCAACACAGTTTTGCTCAGAAAAACCTAATAATCACACATCATCCGATGCAGTTTTTAGCGCTGATTACAAATATCTGGTTGGTTTTCTCTCAACATGTTCTGAAGCAAAAATAAATAAGGAACACCTCTAAAAAACCAAGGTTTTTGGAAAACCTACCATTCGGTCCAGAACCGATCAGTTAATGTTATGGTCTCCCACTAAAATGAATCAACATTTAATTAATCGGGCACAACAACATTGTTGACAATGCGATAAGACAACAAGAACAACAACATTACTAGTTGCTGAAGCAGAAAAAGCAACTGTAGATGAAAAATTTGTTTTAAAACCCTGTACACGTTGTTTAAAAGCTATGTACTGTGATAAACTACGTCAAGAATTACATTGGAAAAATAGCCATAAAAAATATTGTAAACTCTATCGAATTTATATAAAAATGGTCAAATTTATGCGTTTGTCATTAAATAATATGGGTCAGTATGTCGATGATTGTATTAGCAGTATACAGAGTGGCACATAACCTTTGCCTCCCTCTCTCTAGAACCTAAAGAACAGATAATATCACAATGTATTTATACCAAATTAAAGCGCGTCAGAAACCGGATTTATTGGCACTAAATAGTAAAGGTCGACTTTTCTATAAAATAAACTTTTGTTCATTGTTTCTGCTGTCTCAGACGTTTCGAAATATGCTCATTCGGTCTCGCGTGAAAAAACTGCATCTAATGAGCACATTTCGAAACGTCTGAGACAGCAGAAACAATGAACAACAGTTAATTTTATTGAAAAATCGAGTGTTTTCCATCCATACGAAAAAAATGAATTTTCGAGCATTTTTTTAGATTTCCCAAGTCGTTTTTTTGAACTTATACCTCAAAACGATGGCCCAAAATATTTTGAAATATGTAGTTTTGTACAGCTTGACGAGCTCTATCAAACTATGTAAAAATATCCAAGAAAAATGTTTTACTTCATTTTTGATGAACCGGCACCATACTCTTCTTCACCAAAAAAGTATCAAATTTCTGAAAATTTCTTAAGTGCGACATGAAAACATCTTCATAACCTTTACTATTTAGTGTCAATAAATCCAGTTTTTGACGCACTTTAATTTGGTATAAATACATTGTGATATTATCTGTTCTTTAGGTTCTAGAGGGAGGGAGGCAAAGGTTCTGTACCACCCTGTAGATGAAGAAACGGTTGATAACTATGATGATCATGAATATGATGGTGAATTAGATAAAAAACGAAGACAGACAGATTTGTTGATAAAACTGTTCACAAGAAATATAAATTTCGATGAATGATAGCTTGTTGGCAAAAAAAGTTATAGTTCCAAAAATGGAAGATCCTTAGATAAATGATAAACACATATTTAATAGACTTGCATGTTCCAGAAGAATAACGGAATTTAATGAAAGCAAGATTTTAGTTCTTATAATAGTTCGTTTTAAAAAAACCAGTACCAGGAGAGTTTCAGAAACAATGTTTAATGCAGAAATATTATATTAAGAACTGGAATTTTCTTTGAAGTTAAGTAATAAAAGTTTCTAGAAGAAAGTACGAGCTGCATACTGAGAAAAAGATAATTCTAATACATTATAGAATGTTAGCATCAGTATCAACCCTAGCCAGTTTCCACGTATAACAGTTTGCCGTTTCTTTCTCAAAAACTAAGAGTGGTCCAGGAAAGGAGCAGCATATCTGAAAACCTCATCGAATGATGTATACTGTTTTCTTGTAAACCAACCTCCCGGAAAAGCATAGTGTACATCCAGGCCGGGTTTTGGTGAAAAAATGAAAGTTAATTTTTCAGTGATTTTAAGAGTGAATAATATACTTTGAAACACGCTCTATTTAACGGCAAAAACGTTTTTGTCCTAGCTAGGACAATATTTAAGCTAGGAATATCCTATACACAAAAATACGCTAAAAAAACGTGTCCATCGGAAAATCAGATTATAAAATCAAACTTAGCTATTGGATAAACAAACATATGCTCCGAATCTGCATAAAGTGAAACAATTCTCATATCTAAACGTTTGTATTTCGATATTCATTAAGGAAAACAGCTTGATTTGCCACTGATAGCACTTAATCAAGTCAAGTGAAACATATTCGAAATCTCAGAGTAACGCATACGTCTCGGAAAAGCAAATTCAGGTTGATAAATATTTTAATAAAGGTTAGTCGGAGTCACTTCCTTGACTTTAACTGGTTCCTAATAATTGTCAGCATTGGGAATGAACAAGATGTAGCTTAATATGCGCATGCGCTCCTCTTTTCAATCTCCTTTTTCTAAGTAGAGTTAATTCTAAGATTTTTGATATATTAATGAGCCTGTATCTCTGAACCGAGCAAAAGTGCGTACTTTTCATATAATTTATGACAAACGTATGACTAAAACCTACGCGAAATTCTGACTTTTGGCATCAAAATAAAACTTTTTAGTCAAACTCGAGGAGAATTTTATGTAAACTATAAGGTATTGAAAAAGAATTTCTGAGACGTTCGAACACGTTAATTCAACCCATGACTTTTCTGAAACTCATTCTTCTAGTTTAGTATCAGAGATCGGCACGGGCCGCACTGGGCCTGGCTAGAAAATTCTATGGAGTGATCGGATCCGGTCGGACCGGTGTGTGTATATGTTACAGGCTATATTAAAATTCAGGCAGATTTTAAATCAGCCTAGGATATATTAAAATTCAGATGTCTGCATAGCTCGATTTTAAGTTAGCCTAGGCCAATTTAAAATCTGACTAGGCTATATTAAAATTTCAAGTTAGCCTAGGCTAATTTAAAATCTGACTAGGCTATATTA